TTTTGCAGTGAACAACAAATAATGCAAAAAAGAGGGGAAAATTGTTGAAAAGAATATAAAAAGGGTTTAATTGTCCTTTCAATGCTTTTTTTACTGTTGACCCGCTAAATTTTTACATCTGACGCGCCTAATTTGAGTGTATTTCACGCATTTTGCCAGGTAGGATCCGAGTGTTTTTTTGTTTAAGTTTTGGATAGTTAAAGTGCCTATTTGTGCACTTACAAAGTTAAAGGTCAAAGTTAAAATTTGAAGCCAAGTTTAGGGGTCAAAATATGTATTATGCCTTAAAACTATATCAAACATTAGAAAATAGGTAAAAAAAAAATTACCCTCCATAAAACTCGAACCCAACATTTTTTATTTCAATATTATATTTATTTAAAAATCTACTTTAATATATGTAAACTCTTTAGTTTGAAACTTAGTAACTTAAAAATCTAGAATTCATAACTCATGACCTTCAAATTACTGGGCTTTGCCTCCAAATATGTTTATATTGAATCCTATTTATTTTCAAAGTTCTACCACTCAAAGATTTTTAAATATTTAATGGAAACAAAAATTTTTTTTACTAACTTTATAAATTTAGAAGACTTAAATTGCTTAATAATATACGTATATGACTGACTATTTATGATTATTTTACTTAGTAACTAAAAGCAAAATCTTCCTCCAATTTTCTATCTTTACAATATAGAGGTACATATATTTATAAATTACATTGTGCTTATATTCTTTTTAGGTTATATATTCGTAAATTACATTGTGCTCATATTCTTTTTAGGTTTGGGAACCTTGAGTTTATCAAAAATGTCTTTACCTGCAAAGCTATGAATAAAATATGCTTACATTTTTATTTGTTTAAATTTTATTTGTAATATTATATTAAATATATTATTATCAAACTAAATTGAATACATCGTTATTGCGGCAATAATCAAAGAATGGATTCCTCATATATCTTTCGTACCAATATTAATCCCAAACTTATAAGTTAGAATCCTACCAAAGCAATAAGCATAATAAATGCCACATTTCTTTTTATTAGAAAACTTCTTGTTATATACTTAAAAAAAAAAAGCTTGCAGAAAGGTGTGAGAGAATTTGTTCTGTCATTAAAATCCCAATAGTTGATCAAATATATTGTGGGCCAATGTTAATGTCGTTGCCTTTTTTTTTTTTTCTTTCTATTTTAATGAATAAAGAAGATTTTATATTTTGATATATTTAATTTTTGTCGGCAAGTTATGCATACGCACTAATTATTGCACAATTTGCAATGTCAAAAGTTATTTCCTTTTGCAAGAGAAAAAAAAAGAAACTATTTCCTCCTTTCATAGTTGTTGTACTTGTTAGCATGTAATTGATCTAAATCTTAAAAAGTGAGTAGATAATATGAACCAATTATTTCATTATGATAGGAAATGATAAAAAATAAGGCATACTTTTATGTAATTCAAGTTTTGAGAATAAAATCAATTTTAATTAAAAAAAATATGAATACGAATCTTACTTAGTCGAGCCTTGAAATTGTTATCGAAAATCATATGAGAAAGAATAAATCTTATAAGCGGTTAAGAAACTCGTGTATCAAGCATGATAGCCTAACTAAAGAAGTGAAATCAAAACTTAAAAGATCGAATAGAACAATATACACAAAAGCAAATCCCTTTATTTAGTAAGAACCTAAGGAATTTATCATTTCTATCAGTAAACTACTCAAGAATTTTTTTATTTTATGTATCAAAATTGGATCTGAATAAAGAAAAAAATAGTAGATGGGATTATCGAAATCTTGTTTCGTCTTTACTGGGAACTTGAGTGAGAATAAATTATTTTTGAATTATCAGAGTTTGAAAATGGACTCTTTTCCATATTTGGTGTACCTACTTGGATAGAATGAAAGGGAACTTTCACGTCCGAAACGTGAAGAGTCTCATGCAACTAAAGCACTAAGACCTCTAATGTGATTTGATTGCTTAACACTTCCATAATCAAATTTTAATTATACTTCCTCTGTCCAATAATAGTTGTTCATTATTGACTTGACACAAGAATTAAGAAGCCATTAGTAATAGAAGTAATTTTACCAAATTACCCTTAAATATAAGTCATCTAAATGTTGAAAAATGAATAGTATTCAATAGCAAGGATAAAATAGACACAACATTGTAAATTATTCATTGGTTTTATAAACTGATCAAGTATTGTTAGACATCCCAAAATAGTTTAGTGGACAAGTAAAGATGGATGGAGGGAGTATTTGTTATGACTAGTTTTGTTCTCACACCCCATGAAGAATGTTTTTAAAATTTCAGTAATTGTTAATTAATTTGGTTCTTAATTGACATCTTGTCTTGCAATAATTGTATCCATCCAAATCGATTTGCTTAAAAAACAATAATTATGTTGGGTGTGGTATTGGTGGGTGTTTCAACAATTTCTACTTTACAAATTGATGTCCCTATAACCTAATAACAAGAATTTTGACAATTGTGTTTTCTTTATTTTTTCTTTTATAACTATGGTGTCTGGACCAGCTTCTGCACATCTCAACTAATTCTATGAGACACATGTCACTTCACCATATAACACTTTATCCATCAAAGATAGGACGAATGGGGAAAAAATCGCTAAGTATTGTCTCTGCTGAAATTTGACAATTAGTGCTTTATATACCATCAATGTTGTAATGAGAAATCCCTACATCTTTGTCGAGATATCTCGAGTTCAAGTCTTAAATAGGAAGGAAAAAATTTCTGATCGTAAGCATTTTGCCCCTTTAATTAGGGTTACACAACGCAAATATGTATTAGCTGGGATGGTGCGGATATTTGACACCTGTGAGAAACAAAGAAAATGCTTTCTTCACACTACTATTTGTCGTTTTTATTTATTGTAGGTTGACGTATTAAATAACTAAAAATTACTCACCCATCTACTTTTAACAAAAACTTGTAACTTCCGATCTCTTTTCAACTAAAAGCAGTATAATAGTCAAAGGAGAATGAGTCAAAGATTTTAAGAAGATAAATGCAACAACAAGAACAACATACCCAGTAAAATTCCATAAGTGAGATCTGGAGAGGATAGAGTATAACGCAGACCTTGGGAGGTGCAGAGGCTGTTTCTGATAAATCCTCGGCCCAAGGAAAAACAACAAATGCAAATTACTAAATCAATTATTTATTCCAAAGTAAGAATACATCACTTCAGGAAAACTTTATGCATGACACGTATTTCATTCATTTGTTTAACGTAAACACACATCGTGTGGGTAAGTTAATATCCAAAATTTGTCTTCACAGAGCATCAGTATATGATTACTTTTATTCAACTAGGGCCAAGATGACCAATAGTGATAAATAAATATACAACACAAATGGAGAACAACCATTAAACTGGTGTAGCAGGAAAACCAGAATTAGGGAGAATCAAGAATCAGCAGAAAATGACCATAAACTTGACCCTGGTAATCATGAATCTTAGTTCTTTACTGTGGTTACCTGCCTCAGAAGCATCTGGACAACATCGTTGGAGATGCTTTCAGATTCTGCTTTCAAGTGTTGGATCTTTGCAAACGTTTCTTGATCAAGACGTTTGACATTAGCACCCGAATCACCGCTAGTCTGTAGACAATATAAATATTGACAAGCATACTTAATCAAGGGTAAAGTAAATTGAATAACCGATTACTTTCCTAACACCCCTACACACACGCGAAAAAGGAAGTAGATATAAGAAATAAATGACGATTATACTTTTAGTCAGCATCCTTTATGGACTGACCAAGAATTCTGATCACCGTCGGGAAATAGACTAGAGCAGAAAACGTAATCATGTTCTAAAGGTCTAATAGGAGAACACACACACACAATATGGGCCCTGATCAAGAATGCAGCCACTAGATTTGGTCTTAAATGTTCATTTTTTAAATAAAAATATTCAAGTTCATATAAATCCCCACAAACATACAGTTAAGCTCTGCGTATACCCTAGCCTCCCCATACCCCACTTGTGGGACCACACTAGGTATGTTGTTATTTGAGTTCATATAAATGAATGCAACTCAGCCTGTGTAAGCTTTCTCACACTGGCAGTCTGAAGTCCCAAGCCAAGATGAAGAGGAGGGTTGTGGTAGGTTTGACAACCAGTGTAAAACTAGACAATTTTATGAAGAAATAGCCAATCTCAAATTGCTTGGGTTTGAAGAGCAGTTGCTGTTGTTATGGTCATACAGACACATGAAAATTGGTTTCTTTCCCAAAACTATTTGTTTCTTATTTACCTGTTCAAGCTTTCTCTGGAACTCAGCCTCCATGAATGCACGAAATTCAGCTATCTCCTTCTCAGCTTCATCCTTTGCCTGTTTCAATCTAGCCTGTTTTGCTGCACTTGAAACCAAGTCAGGATTCAGAACTTGCTTATACAACTGATCAATTTCAATCCCGGTGCCGCGAAATACAATAGCCACACAGCTCATATTATTAGTTAAGACATGGGGAAGAACAGGTATAAAGTTATGAGCTTTTGGCTGCAGTAGTTATTACTCTTTGCGTGTGATATCCAAAATGCATATTGATTGGTTATGTTGCAGTTGGATCAAAATAACAAGTACGGTGTTGAGAAAGGGAAGTTTACGTAAAACAGTAAGGCAAAGTGGTGAATTGGTAGGAACTAGGAAGAACCATCCAGATTACATTTTACTTATTCAGTGCACATCAGAGATGACAATCATCTAGTTTCCCCCTTATATTGGAACTGAGCTGGTTCAGACTGAAAACAAACTCTCAATGCCCACATTAGAAATGCAATTTGTGTATGTCAAGTGATACTAACCAAAATGTGATCTTACGGGATTCTACCATGCACACTAACACAGGAAGGAAAAAGTTGAACTGCAATGGAAATAAAAGTTATTGGAAGGAGAAAATTCTAGCAATGGATCCATGACTTGAAAATAGTACATGTATGTTGCCGGAGTTTCCTGATCGTTGCATTAGTGAAACTAACAGAAATCCAATTCAAAGATCAGAAAACTGGAGGCATAAAAAAGGGAAATCAATTACCACTCCTGGCAGCATTGACAATGTGTTGAGCTTCTTGCTCTGCACCTAAAAGTTGTTGAATTCCATTTTGGTTGCCTCTGTTGGATTCCATTCTCGTCTGACACACTTTTAAAACTATAACAAAGAAGAAAGTATGTGTCTTACAGAAATCGGTAATATTTGAGAAGCACAACAAACAATTATTCAGAAGAATGTGAGCATGCTGTGAAACTATGCTAAAATGAACAGCCATGACACCTTTTATGCAAAACTTATCGCCTTTGGAAAGACCAAAATAAGAATTACGTCAAACGAAAAACACAAGTAATTCATTTACAATATGGTTCAATTTGAGGACCAGATTTGTACTAGGATCTTTTTCTCGTGTGTAGTTCAGGTTGTAAATTTATAGGCCGAACTTCGAACTACCCAATATTTTAGGCTAAACGGAGATGGATCGCTAGTGTGACAGGGAGAACACATGTACTTCACATGTTACCACATTTTGATACTGATTCTATGGCAGCAAAATGTCAGGATGTCCTTGTAATAGCTTTGGTGGTCATTGCAATTTCAGGTATCCTATAGTTTATTAACTATAGATCCCAATCTACTGCGATAGCCTGGTCTAGAATGAAAAATATCCCAGGTCAAATACTTATGAGCTCAGAACTTGGTAGATTGTTGAAGTAATGGACGCCTCACTATTAGCTTTGAGCTGATGGAGAAAAAAATATTCTTGGCTCAATGGTAAATAAGCAAGCTATTCCTTCAACTTTTAACTAAATGGAAATTTAAGTTAAACATCAGCCCTGCCCATGAAATTTAATTCCTCTCTTGTGGATCAACGAAACAGGTTACAATAAATTCAATCAGCAAACAGGAGAGTGGTATTTAATCAGGAAAGACTGGATCAAACACCTATGCTCCAACAATTCTCCTCCCAAAATACAAAATCTTTTACTCAATCAACAATTCTAGTTAAAAGTGAGAAATTTCTTCTACTTTTTTTTCCTTCCTTTCTTCTTTGGTCTCCTTCATCTACTTTTGGTCCAAGTCAAACTGCACAAGTTACTCTTCCTAGAATTGCTCTATAGAAATAATAGATCCATCAACACAAAGATATCATAATCAACAAGTCAATCAGCTAAGCTGAAGCATTTTGCCAGAAGCAAGTTAACCAATCACCTAAACGTCAATTTCAAATTAGTTACAATTAACTACATGAATCCTCTGGATCCATTCCACTTTAATCACATTTTAACAGTCACGGTCAACCAACTACAAACCTTCTATCACTCATTATTGTTTTTGAATCTCACATAGACCTCAAATTATTTTGCAGAAACAAATAGTTGAGTATCACTAAAGTGGAGTAACAAATTCAACCCCAGATTGTCAACCATCCCCTACTTCTTCCCAATCTCAAACTCATAAAAAGGATATCCCAGACAAGTTCCTCTTCCTAGATCTCTCTATAGAAATAATAGATCCATCAATACAATATATCATTATCAACAATTCAAACAGCTCTAAAACTGAAGCATTTTTTCCCAGAAACAATCAATCAATCACCTAAACCTCAACTCCAAACTAGTTAGAATTAACTACATTCTGCTTTAATCACAATGACAAACATTTTTACACTGGTGATTCAAGGTCAAACCAACTGCAAAACTTGTATAACTCATTAATGTTAGAAAATCTCACAGACCCCAAATTGTTTTGCAGAAACCAATAGAGTTGATTATATCTAAAGCAGAGTAACAAATTCAAACCAGATCCATCAAATACAATATATCCTTATCAACAATTTAATCAGCTCTAAAACCAAACCATTTTTCCGGAAACAATCAATTAATCACCTAAACAACAACTCCAAACTAGTTAGAATCACCTACCTTCTGCTATAATCACAATACTGAATAATTTAACACTGACAGTTCATAGTCAACCAAATGCAATACTCATTATTGTTTGCGGAGCACACATAGATCTCAAATCATTTTGCAGAAACCAAATACACTAGTTGATTATATCTAAAGCGGAGTAACAAATTCAAACCAGATCCATCAAAACAACATATACTTATCAACAATTAGATCAGCTCTAAACCGAACCATTTTTTCCAGAAAAAAGTCAACCAATCACCTAAACTTCAACTCCAAACTAGTTAAAATCAACTACATTACGCTTTAATCACAATTCCGAATACTTTACACTGGCAATTCAAGGTCAAACCAACTGCAAAACCTTCTATAACTCATTATTTGTTAGCTAATCTCACGTAGACCTCAAATCATTTTGCAGAAACAAATAGTTGATTATAGCTAAAGCGGAGTAACATAATCAAACCAGATCCATCAAATACAATATATCCTTATTAACAATTCATTCAGCTCTAAAACCGAACCATTTTTTCCAGAAACAAGTCCATCAATCACCTAAACCACAACTCCAAACTAATTAAAATCAACTACATTACACTTTAATCACGATTCCGAATACTTTACACTGGTGATTCATAGTAAAACAACCTGCAAAACATTCTATAACTCATTATTTGTTTGTGAATCTCACATAGAGTCAAATCATTTTGCAGAAACAAATAGATGATTATGTCTAATCGGAGTAACAAATTCAAACCAGATACATCAAAACAACATATCCATATCAATAATTCAATCAACTCTAAAACTGAAGCATATTTACCAGAACAATCAATCAATCACCTAAAGCTCAATTCTAAATTAGTTAGAATCAAACTACAATTCCGCTTTAATCACAATTCCGAATACTTTACACTGGTGATTCATAGTAAAACAACCTGCAAAACATTCTATAACTCATTATTTGTTTGTGAATCTCACATAGAGTCAAATCATTTTGCAGAAACAAATAGATGATTATGTCTAATCGGAGTAACAAATTCAAACCAGATACATCAAAACAACATATCCATATCAATAATTCAATCAACTCTAAAACTGAAGCATATTTACCAGAAACAATCAATCAATCACCTAAAGCTCAATTCTAAATTAGTTAGAATCAACTACATTCCGCTTTAATCACAATTCTGAATACTTTTACACTGATGATTCAAGGTCAAACCAACAGCAAAACCTTCTATAACTCAATATTGTTTGTGAATTTCACCATACACCTCAAAGAATTTTGCAGAAACAAATAGTTGATTATATCTAAATCGGAGTAAAAAATTCAAGCCAGATCCATCAAAACAACATATCCTTATCAACAATTTAATCAGCTCTACAACTGAAGCATATTTTCCAGAAACTATCAATCAATCACCTAAAGCTCTAACTCTAAATTAGTTAGAATCAGCTACATTCCAATTTAATCACAATTCCGAATATTTTCACACTGGTGATTCAAGGTCAAACCAACTGCAAAACCTTCTATAACTCATTATTTGTTTGTGAATCTCACATAGACTCAAATCATTTTGCAGAAACAAATAGTTGATTATATCTAAATCGGAGTAAAATTACAAGCCAGATCCATCAAACAACATATCCTTATCAACAATTTAATCAGCTCTACAACTGAAGCATATTTTCCAGAAACTATCAATCAATCACCTAAAGCTCTAACTCTAAATTAGTTAGAATCAGCTACATTCCAATTTAATCACAATTCCGAATATTTTCACACTGGTGATTCAAGGTCAAACCAACTGCAAAACCTTCTATAACTCATTATTTGTTTGTGAATCTCACATAGACTCAAATCATTTTGCAGAAACAAATAGTTGATTATATCTAAATTGGAGTAAACAAATTCAAACCAGATCCATCAGAACAATATATCCTAATCAATAATTCAATCAGCTCTAAATCCAAACCAAATTTCCAGAAACAAGTTAATCAATCACCTAAACCTCAACTTCAAACTAGTTAGAATCAACAACATTCCACTTTAATCGCAATTCTGAATACTTTTGCATTGGGGATCCAAGGTCAAACCGACAGCAAAGTCTTCTATAACTCATTATTGTTTGTGAATCTCATCATAGACCTCAAAGCATTTTGCAGAAACAAATAGTTGATTATATCTAAAGCAGAGTAACAAATTCAAACCAGATCCATCTAATACAATATATCCTTATCAACAATTCAATCAGCTCTATAACAAAACCATTTTTCCAGAAACAATTAATCAATCACCTAAACAACAACTTTAAACTAGTTAGCATCAACTACATTCTGCTTTAATCACAATTCTGAATAATTTAACACTGGCTGTTCATAGTTAACCAAATGTAAAACGTTAACTCATTATTGTTTGCGGAGCTCACACAGATCTCAAATCATTTTGCAGAGCTCACATAGATCTCAAATCATTTTGTAGAAATCAAATAGTTGATTATATCTAGAGCGGAGTAAACAAATTTAAACCAGATCCATCAAAACAATATATCCTTATCAACAATTCACTCAGCTCTAAAACCGAAGCAATTTTTCCAGAAGCAAGTCAATCAATCACCTAAACGGATAAACCTCAACTCCAAACTAGTTGGAATCAACTACATTCCGCTTTAATCACAATTCCGAATACTTTCACACTGACGATTCAAGTCAAACCAACTCTAAAACCTTCTATAACTCATTATTTGCTTGTGAATCTCACTTAGACCTCAAATTATTCAACAGAAACAAAAATGTACTACAAATTCAGAAGAATCACATATTAAAATTAGTCAAAACAATCGATCTAATCAATTCAAGCTGAAATCAGCATATTTTGATCGGAAAAGAACTCAATAGTACCTGTAGAAACTGAGTTTCGAAATCGCTGCAGCGAAACTTTGGAAGCTTTTTTTCGGTATGGAAAGAGTTGGACTATGAAGAGACTCTAAACTTGAGGCCTTTTTATACTTGTCACGTTCTCTCTTCCGTTTTGTTTTTTTTTTTAAATAAATAAAAAATAAATAGAACAGGCAAATTCTATGTGAACAAAAAAAAGTATTTTATGTAAAAATAGGCATTTTTTATTTTTTAAAATTGTTTTAACAAGCACCAAAAAAAAGAGAGAGAAGGAATTTGGTTTAAAACAAGTTTGTCAATTTTTTTAGGCAAATACCACCTAAATGATAGTAATAGCTTAATAGATATTATGGAGAGATGTGAAATTTGATAAATAAAAATGCTATTTTAACTTATAATATTGATGATATAAATGATCAACCATTAAAGGTTATGGTCTGATGATAAAACTTGTTAACTTTTAATGAGAGGTGTTTAGTTTAATTGATGAATTAGAAGAATTGATATGTGATATGAGTTTAGACAATAAATTGATGTATTTGATTGAATTGAACTAGATCAAAATGGATTAGATAATGTGACATTATGTCATAAGTTCAATATGTCCTATATTTATTAAATTTTATTATCGAGGCAACGATAGCAAGGAACTTACTAATGCATTAAATACGGTAAGAAGTCGTTTGGTATGAAGTATAAGGTATAAATTCCGAAATAAATGTAGAATTATTTTATCTCATATTTGGTTGGAGATATAAGGTAGTCCTGAGATTATTTGTCTCATCATTTATATCATAATGATGGAATAAATTATCCCACAACTTATACTATAGTTATAATATAAATTATCTCATATATATGGTGAAAATAACTTATCTGAAGATAATTAATTTTGGAATAACTTGTTCATAATCAAACGATCTAAAAGTCCAATTTTAATTGTACATATTTATCTTAATAATGAAAAATCCAATATTTATATATAAAAAAAAATGAACTACTCTCTTGAATCATCATTTATTAAAATCAAATCACATTCTTATTTTTTTCAAATTTAATGATTTTTTTATTGGAAAAAAGTTTTTCTTTATTACATTTTTCCTTTATTCCAAACAAATGTTTATGTACATCCAAACAAAACCTTATCGACACTTGGTTAAATTTCCCAATTTGCTATAAGCCTAAAAAATTCTTAAAGCAAACCCTACGACACCGTATTCGCCAGTCTCCCTAATTGTCCCCGCCGATTCCCAAAACTCCACCGCCGACCACCGCAGTTTTTTCTCTCCGTCGTTCTTCCGTCGATCTCTTCCCCGGCGATCCTCTTCCCCGTTCACCATTCATCTCTATCTCAATCGCTCCATATATACACACACAAATACATACACATTTATGTTATCTCTCTATGGGTGTCTGATACCATTGCCCATTTCCTTGACTTGCTGTTTTTGCTGGTACATTTCTCTCTATATATATTTATCTATATTTTTTTGTCGGTTAAGATTTTTGGGTTTTTTACTTAGGAATTTTAGTCACTGTAATTAGATTTAATTTGGGTAATCTGTGTCTGTAAGTTCTTTTTTTACAATTTTTTCATCATATGGGAGAAGTTTATTTTCCAAATAATGCTACAGTATCATTTTTTTTAATGTAGTGATTGATATATAATTAACTCTAACTAGTTTGGGACTGAGTAATAGTTGATTGATTACAAAAACAACAACATACCAGTGTAATCCGACAAGTGGGTTATGGGGAGGGTGGAGTGAACGCATACCTTACTCTTATCTCGTAGAGGTAGAGAATTTGTTTTAGAAAGATCCTCAGCTAAAGTTCAGCAAATCATATTAATTATGAAGAAAGAAATACAGCAGTGGAGAAAACAGGTCGATTAATTACGGAAGGCAGTACAAAGCATCTAGAATAGGAACTGTAATGGCCAAAATAATGTGGCAACTGAATCGCAAAAGACTACCACAATAGTTGATTGACTGATAGGTAATTATCATAGTTCTAAGATGATTTATAAGGTTGATCTTAACTGCTTAGAACCTGTTGCAGTAGATGATTGATTGATTTAGAGATATCATTCTAATTTGAGGGCACTGGCTAGCACTAGTACTTTAGTAGTTTGTACATTGTATTAGAATAATGCTGGGTATGTACTTTACTAATTAGGTAAGTTGTGATATCAGCTAAAACATATGTAAGTAAGGATGGAAAATTTAATCATCAGGAGACTGTTATAGCATCATCGTGTGTATTAGTATTGGACTTCTGATAGAAAACAGAGTCTGGTTTAAGTGCAAACAACTTAGCACTCTGCATTGACAATTTGCACCGGTAACTCAAAGATTAACCAGTGAACCCACACTTAGAGAATCATGTAGGAAATGTTTTTGCATCCAAGGGTTTGCCTATTGGTCAATGAAGTGGATTGAGAACCACGAGGTATCAGGTTTAAACCCCAGCAGAGGTGAAAATACTATATGAATTCTACCCATTTGTTCATGCCTTGGTGACTACCAGTGCTGGAATTAGTCAAGGTGCTCACAAGCTGGCCAGACGATTTGGTAAGGTAGGAAAATGCTAGTAAAAAAAAGTAAAAACTTGACATTCATGTGCAAATAAGATGAAGTAACTTTTACACTTTTGAAAATTCATGTGGAGATAGCGAAGAATAGAATACGAAGGAACTATGGAAGAAAGGTATCATAAGATGACACTAACTAGTGGGTATCAAGGCTGTTATATCATGTGTAGAGTTTAGCATGAATCTTCTTATTCCTATCTGTGATTGTTTGGCATTGCAGTATAGATTTGTGGTTCTGAGAATTCCTAAATCATCCTAGTTTTTCCTAAAAGTTGAATTATCAAGTAATGAAATGAGACAGACCCAAATGGAGTGGAATGGATATAGAGGAGTCACATAGCTGACTGCATCTAGTTTTGGGTTGAGGCCAGTGTAATAAAAGCCATTGTTTTGTTGCTTAAAGCAATCAAGCTATGCAAAGTGAGGGGTTATCATTTCATGTGGGTGAAACCTTGTGATTAAGAGAATTTTGTGCTTCAAAGTTCAAACCTTGACGCCACAAAGTTATCCAGAAGAAAAGTGGTGGTTTCTTGACACTCATCTTCGAGGAGTTGGATTAATATTGAGATTGATGTATATTTATTGCTAAAATTAGTTATTTTGATTATTATACTACTAAATCCATGTATGTTTGGCTTTTAAATTTCTGTGAATTATGCACTTCACTTCTCGTTTTTTGCTTCAAGCCCCACAAACCTTGTTGCTTTGGTTGTGCTTTTCCCTTCTAGAAAACTGGTTGAGGTGTAGTTTTTTGGTGTTGTAACCTTAAAGTTATTTGGACAGTCTTCTTTCTAGTTACCTTTAAATCATACAGTTATTTGGAATTTCCTTCTCTTGGTACCTTCCCCAAAAACATAAATACTAGCAGGCAGTATCTTGTAAACAAAAGAATAAGTTAACTTTGTAATATAGAGTTTTATAACTCCTTGCTATAATGTGAGATACGTTATCTAGTAAACAAAAGAATATTAGTTAACTTTGTAATATAGAGTTGCTATAATTTTTTTCTTTTATTTGCAACTTTGTGATGCGGTTAAGGTGCATTGTATTTTTCAAATGACTCCGCAATTATATTCTTAATAGAATGTTAAGTTTTTCTTGTTTCAGAGATATGTCATAAGCAGCAATGGTGGACTACTATGCAACTAATCCTGGACCAATTGAGGATATTGTGTTGTACGATCAAGATAAACATGTATCATCTGCTGTTTGGGAGGGGCAGGTATTCACTAAGCTAAACTTCCTCCCTTTTTTTGCCAAATCGACACTTGATAGCAACTCAGTGATTTAGACAAAACTTGAATGGCTTATTTTCACTGTTGACAGGAGCGTGGTGCTCTTAGGTGCCATGAGCACACATCAAAGCTCGATCAGTGGATGCTCACAGAGAAACAGGTTGAGTTGGTTAAAATGGCTGGATTTGGCTATTTGAGAATGATACCGGCAATCAGTTTGGATAACCCACTCATATCTGCCCTAGTTGAGAGATGGAGGAGAGAAACAAACACATTCCATTTCATTGTTGGGGAAATGACTGTTACCCTTGAGGATGTCGCGTACTTGCTTGGGCTACCAGTTGATGGTGAGGCTGTTATAGGTGTGACATACACTTCATGTGAAGCAGTCTGTATCAAATTGTTGGGAAAAGCACCTGACTCTGGATATACCAGTGGTGGGATGGTGAAGCTTAGTTGGTTGAAAGAGACCTTCTCCCAGTGTCCGGAGGATGCTTCCATGGAGGATATTGCGCGTTGTACACGTGCTTATCTTCTTTACCTGGTCGGTAGCACCATCTTTTCAACTACAACTGGCAATAAAGTACCTGTCATGTACCTTCCTCTGTTTGAAAATTTTGATGAAGCTGGCAAGTATGCTTGGGGTGCTGCAGCATTATCCTTCTTGTACAGAGCACTCGGCAATGCTTCCCTAAGGTCCCAAAGCACAATTAGTGGCTGTTTGACATTATTACAGGTATGATGAGGCTTGGGAATTTTTGCCTTTGAAGGGTTCCATGGGGACACAAAATTTACTTGGCTGTCATGCTTTGACAAGTAATTGAAAATATAACCGCTGAAACTCTTTATATTAAATCTGGCTGTGAGCAGTTTTTACTCTCTTGCAGTGCTGGAGTTACTACCACCTCAATGTTGGTCGGCCAAAGCTTAATCATGATCCAATCCATGAGTGTTTCCCATTTGTGCTTAGGTGGAAAGGTAAACAAAGCAGTCCAACGTCAAACCGTGATGTGGCATTCTACCGAAAATCATTGGACTCTATGAAGCCATCTGATGTGAGTTAGTTTCTAGAACTTCCTTGTGTTACTTGAATCATTTATCTCTTAAAGAGCTTAAGAAAATGGAACAATTCTATGTCCAGGTTGACTGGTGTCCTTACTCAAACATTAGCCATACCGTCATACCAGAACATATATTGCGCAGCCTCATTCTGGGGAGATCAAAGACCATGTTGATATGTTATGACAAGGCAGAAAGACACCTTCCAGATCGTTGCCTACGGCAATTTGGCATGCATCAGACTGTCCCCGAAGAGGTACAGAAGTGGGAGAGGAAGAGTCGAGGAGTAGATGGTGGTGTAGATCTCTCAACAAAAATGGAATCAGAGCTTAATGAATGGTCAAATCGGCATCTCTATATTGTGGAGGCAGAGGAAGATGTTGAGGAAAGTGAATACATGCAGTGGTATATGAGAATTACAAGGAAGTTGGTTGGGAGGCCTGTACCTATCTCATCTGAGTTTCAAAGAATGGTAAACTATCAGATAAATGTAACAGGATTTTTTTCAATTTTCAGTTATCCAACATCTCCTCTCTCACTTTGTGTCATGCCTCTGATTTTTCACTGTAATCTGTTTATTTGTCACTGCAGAATGCTGCACTGAGAGAGATTGCCCATATAGCGGACACCATTTCAACTCATGGGTTGGATGATCAACAGTTACAATCTGTCACAAGAATCCGATATATTACTTATGAATGCCTGAGGGATCAGATTGCAAGTACGGTAGTTGTTGCATCGAACTCACAAAGTGAAGTCGGAAAGAAAGTACGTGGAAAGGAGAGAGTAAGAAGGAAGGGGATGGGCAAACGTAAGCGTAAAGAAGAGGTAGAGCAATATTATGCCGCAGGGATACCCATGCAACATCGGATACCTGCTACAACTTTTGATGTTGATCCTTCTCACCTATATCACATCGGCAATGAGATGGATAATCCTCATTTGTGCATTACAGTAAGTGAAGATGATCATGGTCGGATATCTCATGTGGCTCATAGTGTCGATGATATTGATTTCTGTGAAGATGCTAAGGAAGTTGATGAATCACACTTCCATCATTTAGTTGGAGAACAAGATGGCCATCTCTCCAGTGAAGTAGCAGAAGATAAACCTCATGCTTCAATGGATATCGTGGTTCCTCAGGTCTCCCATGAAACTAGAGAGGATGTTGCACAGCAGAACGATTACGGGGTTCTTGTTTAGACCAGTAAAGATGAAATTTATGGCTTGCTCAATTTTCAGTTCATTTGGAGATGTTTTTCTCCCCTCTGTCCTAGTTGAGGAGAAGAAAATTATGCAACAAGACTTTGAATGCACAAACAAATAGTACTTGTGAATGGTAATATTATATCTTTATTTTCTTCAACCTTTATTTTTACCTACACATCCTGCAGCTGGACTACCTACTTTTAAAAGTTTATTTGTGTTGTTTAATTAAAAAAAAATTACTCTTTGGTCCATTAGAATGGTTTGATCATGACTTCAAGATCCAGAGGATGGTGACTAAAGGTGTTAAAAAGGGAATGAGTAGAGCCAACTATTTTAAAATAAAGTTGTCTCAGTTGAGAGCAATAATTTTTTGTTAGAAATTTATATATGTCAGTAGTAAAAAATTAATATCAAATAACTAAATCAACAAATATTGCAATAAAACAAGTTTAAATAGAGTCACATGGCTAATAGAGTTTTGACACAAATTGCCTGCTTGTACAAATTTATTTTTGTGGTCCTTTAACTTATTGATCACACTGTTTACTAATCTTTAACTAACTTTTACCGGCATATTTAACCACTCCCCAACTAGAATATCCCAACCAACTCCCACTTCCTCACGCGCCACCGTCCACGGTGGTCTTGTCGCCAGTTGCACCCTCGGCTCTCGTCTTAAGCCACTCCACGACATCTCCGAACACTTTCTCCACATTCTCCTCCGGTTCTCCGACCAGCTGGTGCCACATCCCTGGATATATCTTTAGTGTCTTGTCCTTACTTGTCGATCGGCGATATAGCTCCTCCGCGCAGGCGGGATCGCAGATGTTGTCATCGCTGCCGTGGACGATCAGAAATGGTACTTTCACTTCTTCAAATCTCCCTTGCAGCTCCCTGCATACTCTCATTAACTCACGCGCCGTCGCGGGGCGTGGTTTTATAAGTGGTCTCTTTGGACTTGCTATTGCTAGTTTCTTCTTCCACTCCTCCTTCGTGAATTACCAGAAAAAAGAAAAAAAACTTTACTAAAAAGCAACAAAAGAGAAATGCTCAAATGGTAAATTGACAATTCAGTAGCGCAGCTAGAAGCTCGGATACGAATTCGACTAGTTTTGTATTTTAAGAAAAGGTAGCTTGGTGTACTAAAGTTTTTTACTAAGCTCGAGATTTGAAAAAGAAATAGATAGGTAGCCTTACCTTGCATTTCTGCAAGAGATTGTTTTCATAATTTGTATTTAAATATGTGTAAATATTAAACTTAGAATTCAGTCAGAGGTGGATCCTTAGATACCAAACTTATTTAAACTAAGTACTTTTTATTTTTTCATACCAAATTTATTTGAATCCAATACTTTTATCTTTTGATATCAAATTCATTTGAACTTGGTACTTTTTGTATGAGGCATAAATTTATATATGAAAATTTACTAAACATAAACCTATGATTATTAAAATATAACGAGTTTAATAATAAAAATCTTAAATATAAAAACGTAAAACTTAAAATATAAAACTTGAATTATAAAAATTCGCCACAAAACTCAATTATTAGCGCTTGAAATTGAAACAAATATTTTCATTCGATTAATCACATACCTTGAATGCAACCAAAGGCAACGAGCCGCGAGTGGGAACCACGGGCCAAGTGGGAATCAAAACGGCGGCGATACCAAGTAGATGTTCCAAAGGCCACGGCGGTTTGAACTTATTGCTAATCCCATACATACCTCCATTCAAAACGACGCCGTCAAACGGCCGGCGTTGAGCAGAATCGCCTTCCCGGAGAGTGATAAGAAGCGCGATAGCACCGCCGAGGGATTCAGCATAGAGAAACGACGGCAGAGACGGCGGAACATGGAGATCCCTAAAGGAATCGAAGAAACTAATACAGTCATCAACAACGAGATTTAAATCAGGAATATGAGCAATTAATCCATCGGAGAATCCATGACCTTGATGATCAATCGCACAAACGATAAATCCGTTTTTCGCGATGTGAACAGCTGTGAGTTGAACAAACCAGCTCGATTCTCCGGTGAATCCATGGACGACACAAACGACGCCGATGATTTTCGCCGGAGGAAGTGGGGACCACCATTGAGTGAAAAGCTTTAAGCCTCGTGAATTTGTAATGAATTCGGAGTTGTGAGTTACTGAGTGGTGAGAGTAGAACTCCGATTGACTCAGTGAGCCGAACGGACTCAACTCGTTAGCTTCTGCAACTGGATGCTTCATTTTTTTTTCTCACGGCGGTGTTGCTATAATGCGCCGCGGGGGATAGGATATGATATAACCGAAATAGGCAACATGCAAACAACGCGATAACAAAGAGGATAGGGAGAAAATTGTGTGATTCGTCGTGTATTGAATTTATTTTTGTTGTTAAAAATAAAATAAAATAATTATTGTTAGTTGGAAGTTGGAATTAAAATAATATAGGTAGTGGTGGGTGATAAAATTAGTAAGCGGAAAATATGACTCACTTAATTCATTAAAATTTGGACGGATTAAACTTTATTGACTATGACGATAGTTGTGAATTGTGATCATAGTATAGCGATACATTTTCCTTTTTTGCTCAATTTGATTATTAATTCAATATATTTTGACTCATTCAATATAGTTCATTCAAAAATTAAATTGACATATAGCTCAAATTAACATATGAAAAAACTTTTTAAATTTATTTTATTTATAAATTATAATTTTTTTTTTATGAAATTATTAAAATTTGATAAGATTTGAAGAATCAATCAATTTTATGTTCATTCTCTATTTGGCACACTTAAAATAAAATGAGAAAAAAAGTCAAGTCAATAGTAGAACTTTTCTTTCCGCGGTCTCCTTTCGAAGGAGAGGCCTTCATATTCCTAATCTGGTAGGGTCGGGTAGCATTCTTTGCCCCAGCTTAACGAATTGCATCCCCGCATAATGATATTCTTTGTTTGTGCGCTTCTTACCTACTTAACACTGATTTCATGCTTGAGTTGGAGGGCTCTCCCTCCGTCCATCAAGTCAAGTAATTTCTTATCGAAAATTTCTCCGTCGCCTATCTCATGTTCTGCTTCTCTTTTCTTCTTTCTATATCACATACATATGTACAACTTTTATCACTAATTTTTTTTTATCTCTTTATCTAAAGTAAAAAAAAAAAAAGGCTCAGAAGAGCAAAAAATATCAAGAAAAATAAAAAAGACTTTTTTTCTATTGTATAGCTTATTTTAATTCAGTCAATTCTCATAAATAATATTTGAGTGATTAATGATCTACTCATTTATTAACTTAATTCAGTATAATTTATTCAAATTCAATTTAGCCCGCCTATTTAAAAGCATATACATAAGGATGGTAAGAATAATTGAGTATGGTAGAAGCCAGAAGGGAATTAAGAAGGAATGGAACACCGAAAATTATTAATGATAAATTCCTTATCAGTATTATTGCATACTACTAAAAAAATTGGTGGTTGAATTAATATGAAAAGGACACTAGAGACCTATCTATTTAGTAAGGTACTTTAAATTCACCAATTCGATTAATCTAAATTTTCATCGAATAGAACATGTGAAAGAAAACATTATTAAAATATTTTTAATTTTTTTCTTTATTTAATGTGTGATATAAAATCATAATAAAGGAAAAAAAATATAAGGTAATTAAAAACAAATTATAGAAAAATTAAGAACTTAAAATTTAGTAGAGTGTAATGAATTAAGCTATGATACATTATTTAACCCATTTTGACTTCGTTCATTTCAGGTCAACTCATTTATTTATTGATTCAACTATTTTGATTCGTCTAAATTAACTCAATTCATCGATTTGATACTGCTAACCTGTTATAAAAGTATAAAGAATTGCTAGCAAAAGATTCAATTTTGAGCTGATTAATGCAACCAAAACCAACACAAATCAACATTGTTTCCACAAACTAAACTTCATAAATCACAACACCTATTGTAGAGCAAATATATGTTGCGCCATTTATCTCCATTTGCATCCCCTCAATATTAGTTGGTAGATTGCTGCAATAATTGCTCCTGTGAAAGGTCCTCCAGAAAAAATCCCCTGTAAAACAAAATCAAATAATAAAAAATAAAAAATATTCGCAATATGATGTAATATTTATGTATAAAAAGTATTTAATATTTAAGATATATACATAACTAAATTGTCTGGTATCTATATTAAAGAGTCAATTAATCAACAAGGATTATGGTAGAGTATTAAGTATTCATTCGTCCTTAATTAGAATATTGGATTCGAACTCTGGATATGAAATCACCTTATTCAGTAGCGCTTTACTCCCGATGTAGGACTTTCAAGCGTGACTTTGAATTTACGATGAATTTAGTTATTCTTGTGCATTAATTTGATATCATTGTAGAAGCTCATAAAGCTTATATTTTGAATCCACTTCTAGAGCTCAAAATGTAAGTCTGACTCACACATCATACGTTGCGTTGTTATTACTAAATCAAAAGAGGAGGGGGGGGGGGGGGTGTTTTTTTTTAAAG